CATCCAGTAGGAATTGAACCTTACGAATTCCGAATTCGCCAATTATGAGTTGGGCGCTTTCACCATTCAGCCATGGATGCTTTAGCGAGTGAACTAGGTTTTTATTTGAGAGCGAACTAGGTTTTTAGTGGTATTCCTTCTCGAGCTTCTATTTCTTCCGTTAAGGAAGATTCGAGAAAAGATAGAATAAGAAGACGTGTTTCCAGAACGAACAAAATACAGGTAAAGAAGAGGAAGTTAGCAAAGTTAGACAAGATTGGAATGAGCATAGAAACATGTATTGATGTACCAAATCGGCTAATACTCCCAGGTTGATGCAATGTATTCCACCAGTTGACTGAAAACTTTATTATTGGTATATCGATCAGTCCAACACAGATTAAAATAGAAGCCAGTTCGACAGAAAGCTTTTGAAAACACAATGCACCCAGGTAAATAAAAAAAAGACTGAAGGTAAGTAGTTTGGCATTTTGATGCTTTATGAATGTCAATTTTATATGTTGCAGTTACTATCTTGGCTTCTTAAGTTATCAATACCAAGTAGTATTTTTATAAGTTAAGCTTCATAGTAATGATGTTTAGTATTGCAACAATATATGTTCTTGAATTGAATATATTACTAATGGGACTGGATACTTGACAATTTCATTATTGCCTCTCAAATTGACTCTCTCCCTTTCTCATCATTGGTGGATCTCATAGGTTGTGATATCTATGCTACTAATGCCTGATGCCTCAATGCAAATAATCTGAGACTTAACTTCAGAAGTTAATATTGGTTAGATGTTGGTACGTCGCTGGAATTGAGATCTCATTCAAAGAGAAAGATATCAAATATCTGGAGTTTCTTTTTGTATATTATATGGATGATTCGATCCGCAAGGACCATGATTGGGAATTGTTTGATCGTCTTTCTCCGAGTAAGAGGCGAAACATAATCAACTTGAACTCGGGACAGCTATTCGAAATCTTAGTGAAAGACTGGATTTGTTATCTCATGTTTGCTTTTCGTGAAAAAATACCAATTGAAGTGGAGGGTTTCTTCAAACAACAAGGAGCTGGGTCAACTATTCAATCAAATGATATTGAGCATGTTTCCCATCTCTTCTCGAGAGGCAAGTGGGCTATTTCTTTGCAAAATTGTGCTCAATTTCATATGTGGCAATTCCGCCAAGATCTCTTCGTTAGTTGGGGGAAGAATCCACACGAATCGGATTTTTTGAGGAACATATCGAGAGAGAATTGGATTTGGTTAGACAATGTATGGTTGGTAAACAGGGATCGATTTTTTAGCAAGGTACGGAATGTATCGTCAAATATTCAATATGATTCCACAAGATCTAGTTTCGTTCAAGTAACGGATTCTCGCCAATTGAAAGGATCTTCTGATCAATCCAGAGATCGCCGCAGGGTCCCAAATGAATTGGCTTATTCAAAAAAAGCCTTGTTCTTTGGAAGATCTATCTCATATCTGGTACTGCATGTTTCCACTCTGCAAGAACTCCGAATCATTCTCTTAAAGCTCATCCTCTTCATCATAAATGATTCGCTTGCCCCGAAATGACCTGGCCCAATGAAATTCCAATTCATTGGGCCTTTGGATACAATCAAATAGAAAACCCCAAGGGCACCATATTCTAGGAGCCCAAACTATGTGATTGAATAAATCCTCTTATATCTGTTGCAGGTCGAGGACTCCTTCCCCTTCTTCAAACCTCATCTGGGTTCCAATCCTACTGAGAGGTCCACTAAATTGTTGAAGAAAGAATAAGATGTTTCTTTTGTCCCTTCCAGGCGATCGGAAAATAAAGAAATGGTTAATATATACAAGATAATCACGTATTTACAAAATACCGTCTCAATTCATCCTATTTCATCAGATCCGGGATGTGATATGGTTTTGAAGGATGAACTGGATATAGACAGTTCCAATAACATTTCTTTCTTAAACAAAAATCCATTTTTTGATTTATTTCATCTATTCCATGATCGGAACGGGGGGGATACACGTTACATCACGATTTTGAATTAGAAGAGAGATTTCAAGAAATGGCAGATCTATTCACTCTATCAATAACCAAGTTGGATCTGGTGTATCATAAGGGATTTACCTTTTTTATTGATTCTTACGGATTGGATCAAAAACAATTCTTGAATGAGGTATTCAACTCCAGGGGTGAATCGAAAAAGAAATCTTTATTGCTTCTACCTCCTATTTTTTATGCAGAGAATGAATTTTTTATCGAAGAATCATAAAAAAATGGGTCTGGATCTCCTGCGGGAATGATTTGGAAGATCCAAAACAAAAAAAATAGTGGTATTTGCTAGCAATAACATAATGGAGGCAGTCAATCAATATGGATTGATCCTAAATCTAATTCAAATCCAACATAGTACCTATGGGTACATAAGAAATGTATTGACTCAATTCTTTTTAATGAATAGATCCGATCGCAACTTTGAATATGGAATTCAAGGGATCAAATAGGAAATGATACTC